AAAAAAAAGAAAATATCTGAAAATGAACACATTTCTATTCTACATATTAATATTAAAGCTGTTTTTGTGCACAAACTGCATTGACCTGACAACTGTCCCCTGCTAAGGAATATGTCATTCTTATAATAAATACAGTACATATAACAAAATGTCACATTATGAACACTTCAGTATTTTACAACAACACAACATGAAACATCCACTGCAACATCAAAACATTTCACATGATGAGGTACATGGAAAAGCGTGTACAAATAATATATACTGTTCCTAATTAAGAGGTTCAGGCTCTTTAACTCCAACCCCTCCTCCACTGCAATTATGCACCGATCCATCCATCCATCTATACACACATACATCTATCCATCAGTCCAGGTTCTTCCAAGAATCCTGTTCAATATTTGCTGATCAGGTTCCAGAGGCTGCGTAGTCCGTCACAGCAGAAGATCTCTTTAAAGGTCTTTCTCATCTCTTGGCTCCTGAGCGCATAGATCAGTGGGTCAATCACAGAGTTACACATGATGAGTATCAGGTACATGTTAAAGTGTGACATAAAGCAGACACAGTAAATGTTCCGTGGGCAGGAGATCATGAGGATGAGATGGAGAAAAAATGGCGCCCAGCACACGATGAAGATGCCCAGTAGTATGGTGAGGGTGACGGCACCCTTCATGCTAGCTCTCTGCCTGATGTTGGCGTTATAGCCCGGCAATGCCGCCATGCGTTTGACATGCGAACGAGCCAGCAGGAACATGTGGCTGTAGAGCGACGCCATCAGCAGCAGCATGGCAAAGAACATGGCCACCAGGCACACCACCACAGGCTTCGTGTCAGAGTAGATGATGAAGATGATCCCACAACCTGTGGAGAAGATCCAGATGCTGCCGATGAGAATCCCAGCTCGCCATACGGTCATTATATTATGATAACACAGAGCATAGAAGATAGTCACATAGCGATCCACTGCGATCGCTAACAGGCTCCACATAGATGCCACCACGGAGATACAGATGAGAGAATCGAAGATGTTATCCATCTGACGGATGAAGTGATCCTCAATCACCAAGCTCCTGTTTGCCAGCAGGTGGATGACTATTGTTTCCCATGCGTTGGACACGCTCACTAACATGTCGGCCACTGCTAGACTGCAAACGAAGAAGTACATGGGCGAGTGGAGGTTCTTGTTCTTCACAATGGCAAGGATGACCAGGATGTTTTCAAGTAGGCTGATGAGACCCAGAGTAAGGAAGACCTCAGGTGCAATGTGTACCTGCTCACAGGCGGCTGGAGCACTCGACTTGGACCTGCTTGACTCATTGCTGTGGTTTGTATGACTGAAAGACGAGTTTGGAGAAAGTGTGGGCCACTCTGAGGAGTTCATGTCCTGATGTACTGTTTGGTGACAGGTGGTGTTAGATAGATGATGCTGCGCCCATATATAACTGCTGTAAAGAAAGAGAGTTGTTGTGAGAAATGTCCAGAAGCATTGTGAGCAACATCTGGTGTTTTTACAATAAACTGCTTAAAGGATAGAGATAAATTACAGAATAAAACTTTGAAGTTTATTTAATTTTCTGCTCAGCAATACTGAGATTGAATTATTGTAGAAAGATAAAATTGCAAGAAAATATTCAAAAACAGATATTCAAAACATATTCAATAATACTACACCAAATAATAATAAAGGATATGCGCATGCACACATATACATATACATCCGTCCATACATACACAAATATGCATCCATTAATACACACACATACAATAAAAATACAAGTGCAATTGCAAAAAGGACCCTAAACATCCACATTATATTCATAAAATATTTCACACAACAAACTCATGAAAACCACTCCAAGTTCATCTATCATAGTCTCGATATCTGACATACAAAACAAGAGGCTTCCCACTGTAAATGAACAAAATCTTACAATTCTGACTTTATTTCTAAAAATTGAAAGTTTATATTTCTCGCAATTCTAACTTTTTCTCTGAATTGTGAGTTTAGCCTATAGCTTACAATTCTCAGTTTCTGTTTTACAATTCTGACTTTAGTTCTCGCAATTTTGGTTTTATATCTCACAATTTTGATAGTTACCCAGTTGGCAATTGATGATGAAAAGACGTCAAAATTGACATAAAAAAACAGGTCAAATATGCACATCAAACTGATGTCAAAAACTTGACATGACATTGATTTTATGTAAATTGAACGTCAAACATATTGGCCTACATAAACATTCAAACAATTTCAGTTTGGGAATAATGTCCTATTTTCACCTAATTACCACTGGAAGAAATTGCCACCCAAACTGAATTTAAAATGATGTTACAGCATCTTAATCAAGTCTTGAATAATATTTGATGTCAAATTGATCTCAAGGTGCCTGCTGGGCAATGCCCCACATTTCTGATTTTATTTCTTCAAGTTCTCAAAATCTCAAAATTCTGACTTTTTCTCAGATTTGTTAACTTACATCTCACATAATTGTGATATGTTAATTTAAAATGGTTAGATATAAACTTGACATTCTGAGGAAGTCAGAATTGTGAGGTAAAAAGTGGCAATTATCTTCTTTTAAAATTGAGGCAGAAATGTTTCCAGCCTGCAACACTGTTTATTTTACTCTTTATGAAAACTTATTCTTATTTCAACTTATTTCAGTGATATCTTTGAGGCAGCAGGATCTTTTCTGCATACCTTTCCATAAAACAATCACTTACAGAACCTTACCAACACATTATGCTTAAGATACACAATACAGCTTGAACGTGCAGCATCTTTACTGACATCAATGTCTGCTCTAAACATTGGGAAAAGGAAACATTAAGACCTTCCTAGGAAACCTAGGAAATCCCTCAGATATGGTGGATCAGGCCAATCACTGCTATTAGTCACTTTGCACTTACATGACTAGAGGTAGGTACAATGGAGGTCAGTATAGAGTCAAGAACACTATGAATGTGTCCTGCTGTACTGAGGTGGAACTATATGCAAACATCCTTCCTATTAATGCATTTGCTGCCATTACCATTTAGGGCTGATGGCAGCCTAGTAGTTCCTGCTTAGGGGGTTCTCACATTAATTTAGCAGATTTTTCCTGGAAGGAGTCCCATTGTAAATGAGCAGTCAACTTGCAAGACTGGCCATGCAATTGCTTTACTGGAAGTCACACAACCTGGCAACCTACAGGTCTGCAGCTCATTACCACAAGTGAATTCCAGTCACCTCCCAGTCAAATTGACATGAAAATTGACGTCAAAAACAGGTCAAATATGCAGATCAAACTGATGTCAAAAATTGGACATGACGTTGATTTGAGGTTAATTGAACATCAAACATATTTGGCCTACATATACATTAAACAGATTTCAGTGTGGGATTAACTTCCTATTTTCACCCAATTACCACTGGAAGAAACTGCTGACCAAACTGAATACAAAATGAAGTTACTGCATCTCGATCAAGTCTTAATATTTGATGTCAAATCGATATTAAGGTAACGAATTGAGTAACGAAAACATACCTTGCTCATAATGACACCAGTCAATCTGGTGCATAAAAATATATAGGCTACTGTATGTATCCCTGAAATGTTCCAGGTATTTGCCTCAAAATATTTTCAGAAGCCTAAGCGGAAATGTCATTCTCCTCTCAGCTGTTTAAATGGGAAATTCGTTTGTAGGTTTATTTATAGAATTTTTAAACAACCATTATTAGGTGTCTCTAGAATGAAAATGCTTGGTCAAACAATTTCTGTAAGGCACAATCAATATTAGCATATTTGAGGATATTTAATATTGAATCACTGAACAAGATTATGTTTGGTCAAGGACTAGACTTCGACTACGTCAATGAAGCATCTTTATGAAGTACTGAGGCTATTGCAAGACACATTCTAAGCTAGAACATGGAAAATACTATTATTCACCAACCACGCTGTATCTGGAAGGCAACGCAAAAAACACCTAAATATGATGAAATGTTAGAGAAACTAATACAGACATAAAGTCATCCCACATTCAGCTCACCTGATGAGCTGTGCACATCACTTTATCCAGGAAGGATATGCTTGTTTGTAAAAAGTGAACCAAACTGAAAAAAATGAAATATTCAGCAATACGTTGAATAAGATCTGTTTTTATCATATGCGCTGTTGCTTTGTTTCTCAGTGTTCTGTACTGAGCATCTTGTCACGTCTTCTAATTAAAATCCCCTTCTTCTTAAAATTAAGCTTTTTAAAATCTCCTCTGAATACATGTTGTTTTTAATCTTTTTAAACCATGAAATCACAGCTTATTGGACTCAAAATAGTGGGTGAATCAGAGTATATTCCCAATAGTCCTGCAAGTGACATATTGATTTTAAAGCGCTTTGGTGGCATTAAAGACACTTGTTGTTTTCATTCTCTGATAGGTGTTCAGAGCATATTGATTATTGCACCCCTTCATGTCAATGGTCTAAAATAGAAACGGACATACCGACACACATGCACACACACGCACATGTGTATATACACACACAAACATACAGAAAAGGAACATAAATGAGACAGAAATCATCCATCTCTCAACAATCTTTAACTGATGTCTCTATTTCAGGTTGTCAGACGTGACACTGAACATTAGGTCAGAAGTCACATCCAGTGGGGAGCTTGTTATGAAAAACTGACTCAATGTGAGCAGTGCTCATCCTGACAGATTGTTTCTTACCATTTTCCCTATAGCTGCTTTAAGCATCAACAGTTACTTTATTCCCTCAGAAAGAGAACATATTTATACAGATATGAAAAATGCGCCCACACAATCAATAAAATATATATACATAAATACATATATAGCGAGAGAGAGAGAGAGAAAAGATGGATAGATAGAATTTGTTGTCAATTTAACAGTAATTCATCAGAGGGCCAAGTCTCGACCTTTACTAAATTCAAAGACATTACTCACAAGCCCAGTGACAGAGCACCAATATTCAGGAGACGTCAGCCTTTGTATTCGATAAACCACACTTACTGAGTGGATTTGTCAAACACAGTGGAATAGCATTCAAACACTCCTAATGCTCTATGACAGCTGATTTGGATTATAAAAAGCTGCCCCTTGGTGAGTTAAAATTCGACAAGGATATAAGTGGTGTTATAAATCACAGTCTGGTGCAGCCCCCTGACATAACTCTCACAAGCAGGTGTGCAGTTCAAATGCCTCCAGAGTCACACCTCGGGAATAAACTAAAAGTGATATTTAAACGATTTGCACAAAATTCCTGTGGAAGTATGCAGCTATTGTTCATTCATTTAGGTTAGGCTATATAAAGTTAACAGCCTGCACATTCTAGTCTCTTGAACTGTTGCTGAGGTGGGAACAATTTTTGCAAGTAAAGACATAGTATGTGCAGTCAATAAAAAACCTACATAATAGTAACAGAAAGTACAAAAACAACTACAGCAATATATTGTATGATATAAAATGAAATAGATAAAGCAATAAAACAACAAATGAAACGGCAAAATAATGAGTAAAAAGGCTATATCAAGTAAAATTAGTATTATGATACCTCCAAAAAAAAAAATAAAAAAAATAAAAACAAAAGGAGAAGTAGAAGTAGAAGCAAAAGAAAATGTACTCACATTGCCAAGCATCGCAGGACGTGGTTTATGGTGAACGATCTAATGCAAGAGCTGTGTAGACTGCTGGAGAATTACTCAGCGCGCGCTCCACCCCCGCTCGGAGTCGTGCTCTGTACGGGGCAGCAGCGATGCTGTTTGCATTACCGAGCATCTTAAATCTTGACCTTAGGGATATTTTAGTCCCTAGTCATGTCAGTGCTCAACAAATAGGGTACTAAAATAAATCAGTTTATGTAATATTGACAGTAGGTTACGCTGCATTAAAACTGGAACATGGACTGCCTGTTCGAATAATAACAAATGTAGCCAACATTCCTCATGTTCGTTTACATGTTTCAGTACAGGATGTTGGCAGTTTGAAACAAACACCGCTATTAGAGAGCATTTTGATTGTATTATTTGAATAAATGGCAGCTCCGGAACACCTGGGCACTTCCGGTCTGCTTAGAAGGTTGAGCTGATGTCCAGAACTTATTATGTGAGCTCAGTGGAGCGTATCAAAACTCAAAACAGGAAAAGGAACTCCAAAAGCGTTGATTAAAGAGAAAAGTAGAGGGAAGTGCCCTCAGTTCAGTGTGAAGAAAAACATGGACACAGACACCTTACATGCTGGCACTTTCCATAAATAGGTTACAGGAGTTGCATTTATATTTTGAAAGCATTAATGGCACAATGGTTTATATTGTAAGAACTATTAGACTTAAACTAATATCTTAACCTAGCATGAAAAGTACAAGGAATAGGCCCATATTTTCATTTTGATCATGTAAAACAGGTATATAAACCCAACTTGAGTAGATGTCAATCAGTTTTTTTTTTTTTAACTCACAGTTAGGTGTGACAATATTACACACCATGCATGTTCAGGGCAGCTACTGTATATTGGATTCAGATGAGAAATTATGTTTAAGTGCGTCGCACTGCCACATATCAGAACTTTATATTCCACATCTACAGGGGGCAAGAACCTTTTCATCATAACTCACTCAAAATACCTGTTAGATGCAGCCTAGCAGAAATAACATGACAAAGGGAAAATATGTAGTTAAGCAAAATGAGAATTAATCTCACGGTCAAATGTATGAAGTATGACATTTACATAAAAAATTATTACAACTACAATTTAGTTAAAATCATTAACCTCTTAGCATACATGGCCACCCACTTCCACATCGCTCCGTCACTCTCATCAATCTGTACATGAACATTTTGAGTAATCTGTCTGAGTGTATTTTGAGCTTTGTGCAACTGAGACGAGTGCTTTTGTCTTCTCATGCTTGTTTTACACAAACTTGTGAGCTCAAGTGTGTAAATAATAGCCAAATTATACTTGCAGTTGCAGTATACCAGTTGCAAGAAGAAGAAGAAGCACTTCTGCTTGAATGAATTTTATATTTTGGTATATCTCTAACTCTCACATGAGCTCAGTCTGTCTGACATGCATCATTTCTCATTCTCTCAGGCGGGTTTGTAAAAGCTCTGTGCGTTCACACTAGGCCTTTGACCTTGCCACAAGAAAGATCAGACTGAGCAGTCTTTGGACTGGGAGGTCAATGCACTTATAAGAAAGCCAAAGGTCTAAGTGTCAATATCCCTGCAGGAAGGACTGTTTGTTTGAAAATGTCCTCTTTGACAACCAACCGGCAAGAGTTGCACACAGTGTAATGAGGACTGATTTGACCTGAATTAAGTTCTTCAACCAATCACTATTGATGTTTTATGCCTTGATGCATAGACTATATTTCACTGAGCAGTGTTTATTTAGTACTTTCTCATCTCACATCTAAAATCAGCAGTTGTAGGCTACTTGAATATAAATAGCCATTTGTATGTATAATCACTCTCATTCATTTCATACTGCTTTCAACACTCGTAACGGTATGTGATTCATTCATATGACATATTTAACATGGTGACCCCTTCAAAGTGATCGCCCAGAGCTGTTGCTTAGTGACCCTACTCATCCACATAAGAATGTTTTAATCTGCTTATAAATAGTCAGTTAATTTTCCGAGTAGTGAGTCTCTTCATGTCTCGTTTCACACTAATGGTCATACTGGTCATGAGATATCGATCATAAGATGTGATTTGAGGCCCCCAGGCTGAAAGAGAAAGTAACGGAACAGCTCTGTGTATGGATATGTGCCCCGATATTTTCAAGTCAAACTAAATGTATGATGACATTTTATGAAACTGCCATTATCTGTTTTTTGGTTTCCACTGTTTGTCTAATCCTCTTATGTTTCTTTGAATTTAGTTTTATGATTTGACTCAGGGGACCACTTTCTTTCATATTAACTGACAAGATGATAAGAAGACTTTTTAATCATCTTGGTTGCATAACGAAAAAAATCAAAGAAAGATAAAAGCCAGTGTTGATTCATTTGTAAGTACAACTTGATGAAGATAGCCTATAGGCAGAGACCCAGATGATTGGAGGGAGAAGGTAGCATTGGTCATGAAAGACAATACTATGTCATGTTGCAGGCTTTAGCAACATCCACAAAGGATTACTGATTGCTCCCCTCAGGCTATAGGAAACCAGACAAACAATTATGAAATAATAAAATCATAAAGAAGGCTCCAGTTGACCTGTGCTGATCAGCGCAGAGGCCATCATCAAAATAAAAGGTTTTTGAATGGAGAGGGCTTGTCTGTGAGCTCTAAAACAGTGATCAGAGGAAGACCCTGAGATATGATTCAATGAATTTCCATTTTTAGTACAAAACATCAGTCATTGTGATACAACACAGTGAAGAGTGAATAGAAGTACACTAATCAGTCAGAGTTGAGTGTCTGCTGGATAAACACAAAAATAGAGGAACCACCTTTTTTTATACCATCATAACTTTATATCATATATATATATATATATATATATATATATTTGTAATAATTATTAATGGGAATAACCATAAAGGTTGTAATGCATTTTGTTACATATTTTAAGAAGAATAATCATTGAAAATATGAATGAATAATGAATTATATAAAAAATGTTTTTTTAAATATATATATTTCACTGTTTTCACATTCCATAGGCTACAGCTCTGCTACTTGAGTTTATGGAGAAGTACGAGTCTGATCCGCGTTTCCTCCCCATCTAGTGGAGACAAAACGTAACTGCAGATTTATATATAATTTCCAGTCAAACGGGGGGGAAAAACATAAAACGAGATATACCACCTTTCCATGTTACTGCTTTGATAATATGGCTTAGAAAATGACAGAAATATAAATATAAATCCACATATAAAAGCTGTACGAAAACCTTATTCTAAATATCATACTACGGGGGAAAAAAATCCACATTTAACATAGATTAAAATAGGATAATAATAATAACATAAAATAAAATATATATTTTAAATAAAATAAAATATATATTTGAACGTCTTTTCTTTTTATTGCTATATTTTTAATGCTTTATTAACTCACCCAACAAATGCAAACAGATTTGTTGTAAAAAATAGATACAAAACAACAACAACAACAAGTACAAAAGTTGGATAAAAAAGGTGGGTGGATAAAAGTTTAAGGCCTTTTCAATTCCCTGAACCAAACATTAGAGCAAGTATCACTAATAAGGTATCTGGGAGTATGGATGGATTCCAAATTAACATTTGGGTCACATATTCAGAAGTTAGTTGATAAATGTAAGAAAGGAGTCAATGTGCTGAGGTGCTTGGCAGGAGTAGATTGGGGAGCTACTAGACGTTCTCTTAAAAGGGTATACAGTGCATTAATTAGGTCAGCAATTGATTATTGTAGAATAGTATATGGCTCAGCATCAACATCATTATTAACTAAGATAGAGGTTTTTTGTTGTTGTTTTGAGAATTAGCATTTCCCTTGATATCAGCGCCATCCCAGTCATCCCAGTAGGTGGCGGAATATGCACCAAAAGCTGGTTTGCCAACCGCCATTAAACATCATAAGAAGAAGAAGAAGAAGAATTCCCTGAACCTAAAGTGAGCTATCTAACGCTTCCCCCCAAATGACTACACTTCCCATGATGCCGCGCGCAGCAGCTCCATGTGGATGAGTCTGGAGAACGTGCGTGTACATGACATGTGTCTGCTGAGGTATGGAGCGCTGCGAGGACTCTCCTTAAACCCACAGCAGACCTTCGAGAGGTGAATGTAAGTTTCCACGCTGTTTCTAACTATTTTTTTCCCGGCTGATACATTTGGTGTTGTTTCAGATTCAGATGTGTGTCTGATCCTACAGGAGTGGCAAAGCAGTGTGTGTTTAAGTTTAGATCAGGGCCCTGTTAACTTGAGCTCTAACGTTAGTGATTTTAGTTCTGCAAACGTATGTCTGTCCTCTAAAACAACCCCAATGTCATACATAGAAGACCAACATTTATACTTCATAAAAACAACATGTCAGGAATTTAGTCCCGAACTTCTGGTGGATTAAATGTGTTGAAACTCTTGTGACTGAATAAATCTCTGTATTTATATAATTTTATGAAACTAAACAAAGCGCTGCAAATTTAGTTTTTCAGCTAAAGATGCTTGGTCTTTTGCTTAGAAGACGAGAAACATGTCAGAATTGTGTTGAAAGCCTCTTTCATTTAAAGGACTGAGGAAAGTTTAAGGGAATATTCTCACCACTGCAAAAATTATGAACAGATAAATAGTAAAATTTAGCTAACTGGTTAAAACTAACTTAATTAATCTCTGGAATTACAGTACTTTGTCTTTAACCTGATCAGTCTGGTGATTGACAGAGCCATGACCCTTATCTAACCTGACCAATGGCATGTGTTTATCATGCTCAACTTGAGTGACTTTTGAATCATTACTAATGTCTAAATAACAATAATCATGTAGTTAACTTTAAAACTTCCAATAACATGTTATAAGTTGTATTACATTAACCTAAAATTGAATCAACATAGTACTTAAAAAAATGCATTTTATCTGTATCAAAGCAGCTAAACTTTGTCGAAATTAAAAGTGGTAAAATTTTTTGATTATTATAAAATCTTATCTTTCAAATTGTGTGTATGTGTGTGTGTGTGTGTGTGTAAAATTGCATTTAATTTGAAAAACTACATTTTT